ATATAAGGTCAAAAAAAAACTATCTATAAAGGTTTTTTGCAATTTAAGCCATTTGATCCAAGTGTTTTTTGAATTATATCACTATTAAAGTAATAAATAAATAATTATGTCTTTTAAAAAGGAATATAATTGATTTGTGAAATTTTATATATTAAATAATTTAGGAACCTATCCTTAATTACAATATTTTAATAATTTTTCCAATTATAACAATAACAATTTCAACATTTCCAATTTGAGTAACAACAATTCCAATATTTTATTTATGTAAAAATACTGAACTTTTTACATATCTTATTTAACTCTTAAACAGTTGCCTTATAATTTCATGAGATTAAGCAACAATATCAAAACCTAATTAATAACACAACTCTTTCAAAAACTGTCATAATGGTTTTATAGGTCTAAATAATATATTCAAAATCCAATTCTCAATTACCAATAACAACAATATTTCTATAAATAAAATCAATTACTTCTTATATTATTAATTGTTATTAATTACTTATGGTATCAACAATATTAGTTTTTTTTTCAATGCAAATTATTTCCTTTTATTATTTCCTATTTTATATATAGTGCCATCTACATATCAACAAGTGCCAATCCAAGTTATAAGTTTGGAGGCTAACCTGAGAATCATGGCTACAGCGTCTTTATATAATTTGATAACTTTGTATATTAGTTCTAGAAAAGGTATCAACCATTCAACACTAAAACAAATCTAATATACATCAAGTATACTGAGAGTAGTAATAGTTGCATCATATATAAATTAGTATTAATTTATAGATTTATTTTGTAAAGATATTTAATGTAATCTGGATATCAATATATATCAATAAAATTTTGTATCCAATATCTTTTTATAATTAAAAAAAATAAATAAATAAAAATAAAATAAAATAATTTTAATATTATTATTTAAATAAAATAAAAACATTTAATAATTTTTTTTATAACTTGAAAAATTTTTTTAAAAAATTTATTATAGTAAAAATTTATTTTTCAAAAAGAATTTATATATAAATTTATATTTATATATTATTTTTTTATAATAAATAATATACTGTATATTAAAAATTATATTTAATTTAAATTATTATTTATCAAATTACAAAAAAAATTTAATTTTGGTTTTTTTTGAACCAAACTATATACAGTATGTATATAATTATAAGTTATTATATATTTATTAATATTTTTTATTTAAATAAATAGATAATTTATTAGATAAATTTTTCTTATAAATTAATATTAAAAAAAATAATATTTTAATAAATTTTAAATTCAAAAGAATATTTAATAGTTATTAAAGTATTAAGTTCAAATAATATAAAAATTAATAATAGATAACTATTGAATTATTAATTTAATAATATTTTATTTTAATATTATAAAATTTGAAATCTTAAATATTTGATTAAATATTAGATTATTTTTAAAATTGAATTAATTTTTAGTGATAAATTATATTAATTTTTAAATAAGATATATAATATTTAAAAAATAGTTATTGATATATTCAAATAATTTTTTGATTTAGAAAAATTAAATTTAATAATACTTTTCAAAATTTTAAATTTATTGATTAAATATTATAAAGCTTTTTATAAAACTATAAACTTTTAAAAACTATTTGTTAAAAATATTGACAATAATTAATGGTTGTTTAAATTAGAGTTAATTAATATAAAATATTAAATTAAAAATAAATATTATATTTTATTATATTTTTACAAATATAAACAATTTTTTTATTTTAGTTTAATTTATAAATAATAATAAAAGTATTAATTTATACTTGAAACAAGTTTAATTTTTTATTTTTTATTCAATTTAATTATTAAATAGTACAATATAATATAATATAATATGATTTTTATTTGATATGATTTTTATTTAATAATTTAAATCTGTTAATTTACAAATATTAGATTTTATTTTGAACTTGAAATAATATAAATATCAAATTATAAAATATCAAAATCCAATTAAATATAAATATATAACTTTTGTTTAAACATATTAATTTGACAAAAATAAAATTCCATTTTAAATATGAAAATAATATAAATATCAAATTATGAAATATTGAATTTATATAATTGAATATATAATTTCTATTTATAATTACTTTGGCTAATTTATTTTTGGTTAAATATAAACTTTTAGATTGACAAGATTTTTGAAAAAAAATTTAGCAAATATATATAGTATATATAACAAATATTTAACAAATTAAATATATATAACAAAATTTGAGGAATAAATATAATTATGAAAAAAATTTAGCAAATATATGTATACTTATATTTGACAGTTTTTGATACTGAATTATTGATAAAATTTATATGTTGATTTATAATAAAGTTTATATTTTTTTTGCTAAATGATTAGTAAGTAATATTATATTTACAGTAATAAATTATTTTTGATTAGTGTTTAATTGATAAAAAATTCAATGTTAAAAAAGTTGTATTATACTTTTACACAATTATTTCTATTCATATTTTTTTACTGCAATATTTTAATTTTTATTACAATATAGAATCAAGTTTAACTATTGATTCTTTTTTTATTATTATCAATTTATTTATCTAATACTATTTCCCAATTTATTCTGAATAAACAAATGGAATTGCTTAGTCCCTTCTAATCTTATATATTGTTTTAATATATATTTTAAATATAAATTAGAAGGTTGTAGTAGTTAAGCCAATATTTAACTTATTGTATACATTGCAACTAAAACATATTTTTCTTTCGTCGCATATAATGCATATATACAACTAATAAAGAAATACCATTTTTCTATTCGAGAAAAAATTATGAATATAAAGAGATTTGTGTTATTTAGAATTTTACCATGTTCATGTTTTTAAAGATCCAAAGATGATTTTAAAAATGTAAAAATTAAATGCCGTTTATTGATCACGTGAAACAAGTCCATGCCAAGATTTATTTGTTTACTCGAAATTCAATTCCATATGCGTGATCGTAATATTTGGAAGGTTCATCGTGATGCCATTCTTAACATCTTAATTTTTGAAAAAGAAGGAAAGCTATTCAATAAATTATTTATGTTAATTAAATTCACGCATTACTGCTACACATGAAAAACAAATGGACGGTAGAACTCGTCAATGATTCAGTCTTAATTGTATTCCGAAGGTGGATATCAAGGATTAGGACTACATTTATTTATTAAGCAAGAAAGGTCATACAATGGTTGTGTCTGCAACGAACTTATGTTCACCAAAGGCATCACACATCTATCGATCTAAAGTCCTGACATTTGAGGTTCACCGGAAATTCTAGCCGTAATTGTTGTTATAATTAGATCCCATGCATTAAGGAAATTAGGATTACACGATGTTATAACTTTTGGAATTCTGAAATACCAATTATACGTATTTGTAACAGATCATTCAATTAACCGTTTTATATGTTTACATTTGTTTACGTTTGCATTGGACTGCATTAATTAATTTCCATTTCAGGAAGGTCACAAGGTAAATTGTATCGTCAAATTCATCCAACAGTTAAATGTTTACAATTGTTGACCGCCGCGTTTAAATGAAGTTATACAGTTACTTAATCAACAATTGTCATAAAATAACGTTGATAATTATTAAAATTCCTTCATCATCATAAATAAAAAACAAGACAGTGGATGGGTAAGGACATTTTGTGTTCTGTGAAAACGTATTTCTTTTGATCACATGATTATGCCAAGAGAGAGAACATGATGTTGATTATATATATAGGATGTTTTTAATAATTAATCTACATTTTGCTCTTGAACCATTTTTTCACTCTTTTTTCTGAGCACACGTTCCTGACTCACGATATCCAATCATCCTTAATCACCAACATATACCACGATAGCCAAGTGTCTCTATCATCATTAAAGATATTTGGTAAGCTTCTATTCAACTAATTTACTGAACGATTTTCCGTCACCATTTCCAGCTCCCAGTCTACTTATCTATCCTTTTATAACACAATCACCATCCACCCTTTGGTGTCATAAAAGTTGGTCAGGAACAAGCAACTACCCTAATTTTCGCAATCCATATCATTCCTTTATAATTATCTACACGACACTTCCCACCTTTTTGTCTTGAAAAAAAATCAAAATGGAAGAAAAAGGTCACTCTTCAGAATCACGTCGTCGAAAGATCTTTGGCACATGTAAAGGCTGTAATCAGCCAAACTCAAACTTTAACGAGTGTAAGACATGTGAAGAATGGATATCGATACAACGATTAAAGTTGAAAGAATTAAAATATCAAATCGAAGAACGTAGATCGCTCATAAGTAAACAAACTTGCGAGAATTGCGATCAACCGAAACACATTCATCATCACATCGCTGCCTGTGGTGAATGTGGTTATCCGGAGTTGAGGGTTGAGGATTTATATGAATTTGCCATCGAAGAGGACGAAGATAAAGAAAATGACGAAGAGGACGGTTGCGGAATTAAAATGTCAGACTTATTGTGTCCAAGATGTGATTCCAGATTACAGGATTTTCTTCAATGCCCTGATTATTTGGAAGTGATGGACAGGATAAGATTGGAGTTGAATGAAATGAACGTGGACGATCCTGATTACCAAAAGTTGTTGGATGTCAAGCAGGTAATTTTTTCTTTTTATGTTTCGATTGCTGCATTTCTGCAACAGAAAGAAATCTCACATATAGTATCAAAAGCATTACGACATGCTTATCCAACAACAAGAAGAGGATCAATGGATCACCGAAGAGGAGGACAATTGCGGCGAAGGTAATGACGACTGGAAACAAGATTATTTTCTCACCAAAGAACAATATTATTTTTGACATTATTATATGAGACAAAATACCTCGGAGTTATCATGTTATTTTTTGCTTTCGATAAAGTTTACGCAGCGAATCTTAATCTCAAGTTTGACATTTTATTGCAAGATGTAATGATTTTATTGAATGTTGAATCGGTGCGTTATTATAATTAAAAAAAATAATAATAATTTTTTGCAACAATTATCTTGAGATTACAATTTTTACGTGACACACCCTTGCCATTCCTACACACGCGTCTGTGATGAATTCTATGAAAGTCTATTTTTACAGGAAATTTTGTACACGAGATAAATTGTGATAAAATAAAAATAGTAATAGTAAGAAAATAATAATGTGTGTTGTCGAAGGCCTCGACTTGTGTTTGTAATGACATCCAATGATATCGAAATATTGGTGTTACGATTTGTTTGTCGTCTCCGCAGCGGGTGATGGTGAAGGGTTGAGCTCGTTGTCGTGAGCGGGTTCCTGTGATAATTGTTGATGTTCAAGAATCGGATCAGAATTCTCTTTTTCCTCTGCGGCACGTTCGATACTAATGTCTGGTGAAGATCTAGAATTTCGAAGTGATGCGTGTTTGTCTCGTTTTATTGGTTCGGATTCCATAACTTGCGATGGTACCGGTGGAGATTCGTCTGATGATAATGGAGGGGTTCTAATTTGTGGCTGACTCATCGAGCGCCGATACAGTGGCTTTTGATTTTGGTAAAGTTGCGATCGTTGTGAATGACGTTGCTGCTGAAGTGTATGCGGCGGATTCGGTAGATACTGCGAGTGTGGTGCACTAGCATTGTGAGGATTCATTCTAGGAATTGTAGGAGTAAGATGTGGATGAAATGTTGAGCCCCGTGGGTGAAGGTGTCCAGACATTCTTGCACTTTGCGGACGATTCACTTCAGCATAATATAGCCTAGAAGCGTGATTATTATTATGTGACGTGGATGTCCGTCGAAGTTGCGATGAATTTTGGTCAAGTACTTCTGGAAATTGTTGAGATGGCAGTTGTGACGATCGGCGGATGAACGGTTGAGGCGGATGATTTAGATGCGACACCCGATGAGGAAATGCTTGTGGTGGCATTTGCGACAATCGACGAACGAAGGGCTGATTCGGATGTCCTTCTCTTGGGAACTGTGACACCCGATGAGCGGGTTGTTGAGGTGGGCGATTTTCCCCTGGGAGTTGCGAGTTCCGATTAACGAAGGGTTGGGATAATTGATTTTCCATCGAAGGATCTACATCCTCTAAAAGGTTATCATGTGACCGCTGACCTACCGGACCAGGTGGTACCTTTTCCTTTTCTTTGGGTTTCATCTCGATCTGTCTTACGCTAAGGACTGTCATGAGTCCAAGAGAAATCTGAAGAAGCAGTGACAGAATCGTTAAGAACAATGCCTGCCGCGAATCAGGTTAAAAAGATCAACATACCATTGCGACCTCCTGTACTCCAAAAATCACGATACCTGCCCAGATGTTGAAATCGGCGACATTCATGCAACTGTCAAGACGTCCAGTGTTGACATCCGAGCCCATGCAAGATCTTATCATTCGCTCTCGCGACGTGAGCGAAAGTGAAATCTTTGCAATGTCGATCGTGGTCATTACCAATAAAGTGAACCAATGATCTTTCACGTAACGTTTTGCTAAGTAAACGTTGTCCTTTAATTACAACATCCAAAATCGATGTAATGTTTGATCGAGTGAGTGAAAAGTTGAGGAAGAGGGTTGTGAAGTAAGGTATAACTTTTTACCTGGATCCCTCCAAATATTCCCCATAATCCGGAAGGCGAAATTATCACCTCGACAATTCCATATGAAATCAAAAGCGGTCCATTCAGATGATTCGCAGTGACTGTTGTGGGAATTGTTTGAAAGAAAGAAAGGGAGTTAATTGTAATCGCCATCCTGAAGTCCCATGTCGCAACCGATCATAAGCCCTCTCCCTCTATGACTAGGTCAAACTGATTGTTTTTCCACTCACACTATAATAAATAACCATCATTCATTGTAAACTCACAATTTAATCCGGTGAAAGTGACTGTAGCGACAAATAATGGATAAACCTAAATGAATGTTCTCGGGTTAGAAAATGAGAGGATTTCGTGAAACTTGACAGAAATCTTTGACCACCCTCACCAGTGCTAAAGTAGAAACGAAAGTGAGGATAATCCGCGACACGAGACGACCCATGATTTTAAGTGAAACCTGAGTGTCAAGTTGATATCTTTTTTTCTCCTTTGATTCTATGGTTGAGTGAACAAAACTGCTTTAAAATAAACCAATTTATATATTGGGTTAGTAGTGATCATTTGCCGGCCAATCGATATTATTTTGGACAAGCAACATTAGAACAGGTTCGTTGCCACTTCACGTACTCAAAGGTGAATCTTCGGGCGGAGTTTTTCTATCGGATCAAAGAGGATTGCACAGCGGACGAAAATTGCAACTTTTTGGGGGGACTATTGCCGAATAATGTCTACAACCCTGCCATAAAAATAAACAAAAATGGTAACTGCGGTAGATATCATTTAGCAGTGGTGACCAGGGATCCACAATGTTTGGTTCGTCTTTTAAAGATATTAAATAATTCTGATGATAATGATAAATAAATACACCAATATTTTGCGAACATATTAATGTTGCATTTAATTCTGAAAATTTCCTTTTTCGGAGGTCAAAGTCGAGGGATCTATAAATATACGAAATGAGTTGCATGAATAATCAAGAGAAATGAAATCTGTTGGTTGGGAAAGGACAGACTGCAGTATAAGGCGAGTACAGAAAACCCATACATATAAAGTACATAGTTTGTGTTCCGGAAAGTGAAAAAATCATTTAATCGGTTTGTTACACAAAGCTTTCGATAGAAAATACACGACATCGATGAGAAGCAAACAATTAATATTAATGGGTAAGGTGAATTTGAATGACAATATATATATATATATATATAATAATAATAAATGAATAAAAAAAAATAAACGTTGCACATGGGCATTAACATTCGTAAAAATGTATCACGCAAGATGAATTCACTTAGTTTAAATAATCTGCATATGCGGGATGATTTTTTTTTTTAGGGTCCCAAAAGAACATCAATTCCACTAGTGAGGAAACCCTTTGAAAATTAATACACGCCAATAATAACGCAACTAATGATGCACGGCATAAACCTGATGTCACGGTGCAAAGGTTAAAAAAATGTTAATAAAAAGATAGATTCTCTTCAGGAATCAGCATTTTTCCCATGAAAGCATGAAAACGTTGAAGTTCTTGCAATTAAAGAACCGGAACCCTGGAGGCCGACAGACCAGACACAGCTTCGCCTTTTTTCGAACACAAGATGAAGGTATATCGAATGTACCGCCCCCACCTCCGAAACCGGAAAAAGAGAAGACAACTTTAAAGACATACCTTTCGAAAAGAAGGAACAAACGAGAAGCTACGTCTCGCGAGGTTCGTGCCTCCGCCGTTGAACTTGTGACCATAAATGAGTTAAAAGAGGAAATACAACAACGCGAGGTCACGCTGGTCGCCTTGGACAAAAGGATTAAGAGCATAGAGTCAGAAAGGGAACGCACCCGTGTAGAGCTGACGGACGCACAAACACAGTTAAAAGATCGTGTTCAAGAGGTCAGTGGCCTTGAAAAGTTGCTCTCCGAACGTGACCAAACGATAGACCAGCTGACAGAGATGGCGAATAAGATAAAAAAAGAAAAGAGCTTTTTACAAATCGAGTTCGATAAAACGAAATCAGAGCTCAAGGTTCGCGAGAGTGAAATAAGGAACCTGAATTTTTCACTACTTGAATGTGCACATGACCTGCAAGCAGCTAAAACCGATCTTTCCGCAACGATAAGTGAAAAGGACCACGCGCTCCACGAAATACAACAGAGATTGAGTGAGCGAGAAAAACTGGAACGAACACAAACCAATCAGATAGTTTCCCTTCAACAAGAACTTGAGTCAGTTCAACAGGATCTACGTAATGCTCAGAGCGAATTGGAGGCTACCCGATCAATGTGTGACGCGGAAATTGAAGCGGCGCAGGCAATGTGCACGGCTGAAATAGAAGCAACCAAAGCAAAATGCACGGCGGAACTTGGTGTCATAAAGGCCAAGTATGCAGCGGAACTCCATGTTGCCAAGGAAGAACATGCGGATGAACTTGAAGCCACCAAGGCTCAACTTTCATTTGTCAAATCACAATTGGATTCGACCAAGGCTCAACTTTCCTTCACGAAATCGAAACTTGAGTGGGCTAAGGCTGACCTTTCCTCCATAAAGTCACTGTTGGACTCGGCCAAAGCCGAACTTGCCAACACCAACAATAAATTCAAACGAACCACGGCAGAATTGGAATCTTCTAAGGAGGAAATTGAGAAATACGTGGAGATGATGGCATACCGAGATGGTCTCACCTCGCTAATAATAACAGTTTATCAAGAAGACATACAAGTCGAAAAGGAACGAAGCAATGAAGAACTTGAAGAGAAACAGGATCAAATAAGCAAGATGAAAACCTCCTATGAGAAAGAGAAGAAAACCAATGCCAAGACCATTAAACAGCTGACAAATCAGGTTCAAAACCTCACCAACTCACAAGGTAAGCATTTTCTACTGGACAATGTGCTACGCGCACACTTTATCATTTTTGGAGTAGTGGTTAATGATGCATCATCATACATCACCTCAGTCCAAGAAAAGGCCAGAGCATATCAACTCGAGAGTGAAAACATCAAACTACGAAAACAACTGGAACAATCAAAGACACATGGTCAGTAATAAATTTTGAATTGCTTCAAGTTTTGTCGATTAGGAATATGCACAAACCTAAACCAAACATTAAAACTGATCAGTCGACGACGTTGAGTTGATGAAAGAAGAGATTGCTCGATTACAAGCCGAGAATATAACGCTAAAGATCACACCCAAAAGGAAAGATTCAATAAGCGATGTGGCTAACAAAATTCGATCCTCATTCGTTCCAGCAACACCACCGGAGTCACCATGTAACTCGAGACCATCCAGCGACGCGTTTAGCATAGTGCATGAAGGAATATTAGAAGACGCTACCGAGGGGAATTCAATAGTTACTAATGGTGATTGGGTTACGGTCAGGAAACGAGGCAGTAAAAGCAGGCGAGGTTCAATTCGACTGCGCACAGGAAGTCGAGGTGGCCGGAAGGTGAGTTTTTTTTACTTTGATCCGACACGACGAGAATAGGCTAGCATCGTGCCTAATTTCTTTTTTAATTCACTCTAAAGTTCTAGTGCGAAATCCAATCCAAAAATTGAATTTCCCCTAATAACGACAACGGTCAAAATGGCATGATGAGACGACCTTCCACGTATTTTTTCAAAAGTCGTGAGAAAGAGTCACTCCGAAAACATGTCGGTCAAATCCAGGAACATTGAAAAATCAACGATCGTCTTTTCATTTGATCAAATATCATTCA